ATTCAACCAGTGGACCTTCCATATAAGAGTCTCACTACACAATCAGCCGCATAATAATTTCAACAGTAAGCTGTTCACGCGATTATTCTATACAGGTATAACACATTATAGTGTAAATCGCCCGTAGGATACTATCAGACTTCTTGTGTAGAGAGCCCTCTAATTCGTTCTCTTTGAGCGTATTGGTATTCTTTGTGCAAGATTCAAGCGCCAGTGTGAAAGTTCAGACGAATGATATAGAACAAATCGCATATTCCGCCCAGGCCGATATACGGCCGATATGCAGATTTCGGTCGGATGAGGAGGAAGAGGAGGAGCAGGACGATGATGTGGATGAGGAGGCATGGGGATGGAGGACGGTCCGGGATGAGTGGCAATGACCAAGAGGGAGGGGGAGGAGGAGGAGGAACAGGAGTGAAGGCGAGAGAGTGGGATGAGGAACATCATGAGGAATCACGACAGCGGCGGCGACGACGACGACGCCCCGACCACAACGAAGACGACGATGGAGGGGGGGAACCTGCAGGACGTCGAGAAGCTGGACAGCTCCTCCCAGGCGCCACTGTTTCAGGGAAAGCAAACCTGCATGACCATAGACACTGGGAGCTCGGCGCGGAGTTCTCGGATCGGCGTTAGGCCCCCTTGTTTTCCTACCAGCACATTTTCTCAGTCTGGTCAGCGAGCGCGGTAAGGCGCGGCTTACAGGAGCTGCCGCGCCTGGTCGTGAGGTGTTGCAGCCTCCTTGGCCCAGGACCGCAACTCTCTCCGAATCAGTTTGACCGAGCGGCAGTGTGTGACCCGGCAGGGCTTCCAGCGGAAGCCACGGAGAGGGGTCCAGCGCCGATCCGGGACATCCGCGCTGACCAACGACAAATTCTGCTGATGGTTTTCGATGTGTGCTTTTGGCTGCTCCGCTTCGCCTGCACTGGCACCACTGATTCAGTCGATGCCTTTAACTTACCCGGCCATGTACTTGTTTTTGTTGGTGTTGCTGGCGTTTTGCAGCTGATGCGTTTTCAGAACGCCACAGCAGTGATCGCCACCGTTGGCCCGCGCAGGGGAGGCTCACTCACCAGGCACTCCCACCCCGTAGTGAGACTAAGGGGCCGAAGAGGAACAGGCCGCATGTGCCTGTGAATGCGACGCAGTTGATCTTGAGCCGGTTGGCACAGCTCCCGACCCGACCAGACACAGTTGGCGGCAGGCTCCTGGCTCAGCCCATCTGCCCTGGATGGCCGCCGTGCTCGCGTCCGCGCCGCTGCTCTGTTTGGGACAGGAGAGGGGGTGGGTCGGCGAAGATTAACCTCCTCCTCCTCCTGCTCCTCCTCCTCCTCCTCCTAGGTGGCTGGGGAACTGCCACCAGCACCAACATGCAGGATCATTCAGGAGCAACGGTAGGGGGGGATAGGCACAGGGGGGGGGACACATCGACCCCCAATCGCCCAACGATCGCCGATGGGGGCCCGACAGTCCCAACCTGCCCAGGAAGGTGCGGATTCACGATCGCAGGCTCTCGCCGATCTATCGGCGAGACGTATCGCCGACTCCAGGTCGATGCAGCCCCCCCTATGCCACTTCCCCCCTATCGTTGCCCCTCAAATATCTCTCTTCAGAGCAACCCCCTGCCTTGGTGTCGGTGCCAACCTCCGGGCCTCCAGACAGAAGCATCGGTCTGATGCAGACGGTCGCCGCCGACGGCGCCGCGCTACCCTCGTCGCGCTTCCCGCCCTCCCTTCACGTCGCCCTGTCCGCGGTGGCTTCCGCGTGCCTCCCGCCCCAGCGGCCCGCGAGGGACGGGGGAGCCGCAGCAGGAGGCGGAGAGACCAGCGCGAGGAGCCAGGGGTGGTCCTCCGGGTGGCGTGGTCCCCATGCTCTGCACGCATCTCCAGCTCGCGGGAGCGCTGCGGCAGCATCGGCGGCAGATGCCAGCAGACGAGGCCGCGGGAGGAGAGCTGGCGAAGGAGCAGGCAGGGCCAGAGGCAGCCGCAGACGGCAGGCGAGAGGAGGAGGGCCCCCGCGGCCCGGGCCGCGCGTCCTCGCGGGAGGCCGAGTGCGTGGAGCTCAGAGGGCTCGTGCGCGGCCCCGCCCGGTGCCGCACTGCTTGCCAGTTGCATGGCCAGATGTTTGCATCCACACAAGAGTAGGCATGCACACGCACACGAACACACGCACGCGCACACGCGCACCCGCGCACACGCGCACACGCGCACACCCGCACACGTGCACACGCGCAAACCCGCACACCCGCACACGCGCAAACCCGCACACCCACCCGCACACCCGCACACCCGCACACCCGCACACGCCCCCACGCCCACACACACACACCCACACGCCCACACGCCCACAGGCCCACACGTCCACACGCACACGCACACGCACACGCACACGCACACCAACACGCACACGCACACGCACACGCACACGCGCACGCACACACGCGCACACGCGCACACGCGCACACGCGCGCACGCGCACAAGCGCACACGCACACGCACACGCACACTCACACACACATACACACACGTAAACGTGTATATGTATGTATGTATGTATGTATGTATGTATGTATGTATGTATGTATGTATGTATGTATGTATGTATGTAATGTAATGTAATGTAATGTAATGTAATGTAATGTAATGTAATGTAATGTAATGTATGTATGTATGTATGTATGTATGCATGCATGCATGCATGCATGCATGCATGCATGCATATGTATGTATGTATATGTATGTATGTATGTATATATGTATGTATGTATGTATGTATGTATGTATGTATGTATGTATGTATGTATGTATGTATGTATGTCTGTGTATGTATGTATGCATGCATGCATGCATGCATGCATGCATGCATGCATGCATGCATGCATGTCTGTCTGTCTGTATGTATGTATGTATGTATGTATGTACGTATGTATGTATGTATGTATGTATGTATGTATGTATGTATGTATGTATTATATATATTGATCAAAGTAGGCCGGAGGATGGCCCCGAACCATGACCCCTGGTTTGCTTGGGGCCCCAGGGGGGCCTTGAGGGCTCCAGGAGGGCCCCGAAGGGGCGCTGGACCCCCTCAGAGGCTCCCAAGCTGGCCCAATAGGCCCCCAGGTTGCTTGGAAGATGGGTGAAGAGCGCACCGAGATGGCCTGAAGGCAGCCCAAGAGCGCTCCAAGACAGCCCAAGACTGCTCCTAGACGGCCGCAAAGGTGTTCAAGACGATCCGAGAGCCCGCTGAGAGGGCCCCCCAAGGGCAAGCACCAAACATCGTTTGTGGAACAGCGCCAGGTTCAGTCCTAACAGCGGCCCCAAAGGCCTAGGCCTCCAACATCGGCCCAAGACGGCCCAAGTGGCCAAGAGGCCCCCAAGAGGGCCCCAAGTCGGCATCAAGAGAGCTTCGAGCAGCAGAAGAGAGCTCCAAGACGGCCCAAGAGAGAGTCCCCAGGGAGCCTTGAGAGGGCCACGGGAGGATCCCTACACTATCGGAAAGGGCCCCAAGAGGGCCCCAATACGGCCTCAGCTCCTCCTCCTCCTCTTTCTCCTCCTCCTCCGCCTCCTCCTCCTCCACCTTCCTCCCTCTTCCTCCCTCCTCCTCCTCCTCCTTCTCCTCCTCCTCCCCCCGATGACGGGCCAAGAGTGACCCGGGACGGCCGAAAAGGGCCCCCAGACAGGCCAAACAAGGCCCAACATGATCCCCAAGGAAGGCCCGAGGAGGTCCCAGAGGCTCCCACAATGCTTCCAGAGAGGCTCACCCGTAAGCGTATGGAAGCCTTTAAGCGGGAGGCGTCCCAGCAGACCCCCATAAGCGTATGGAAGGTCTCGCCTCTACATCCTGCAAGATGCATCTCAGGGCTTTCAGAGGCCCCACAGAAACATGCTGCGGGGCGCCGTGAAACAACCAAGACCCCGAACTCACGGTCGAGGTCAGGGGCGTGCAGCCATGGGCGGGAGGGCGGCATACGAACGTTGGCTTTAGGATTGCCGGTGGAGCTCTCAACGGGACACGATCCGCGTGAGAAACCCAGTCGCCTTGGGGGGACGTGATGTGAAACCGCGTCCTTTTGGCGCTCATTGCTTCCTCTGGGGTTTCCTGTGGGTCTCCTCTATGTCCTCTCGTCGTCGTCGTCGACGTTGTGGTAGTCGAGAGAGTCGTCGCCGCTGTCGTCGTCGTCCTCTTAGTTGTGGCGCCGTTGTCGTCGCCGCCGCATCGAGAAGGCCAATGGCGACGAGGGGCAGGGAGTTGGAGAACACGACATCCCGCCCTCAATCAATCCCCAGCTAACCCTCGGTAAATGGGAATCCGTGGCATGTACGGCAACTTATTGCCACCCCCTTGGTATCACACCGAGACTTGTGCAAATGCCTACCTAGAGCCGAAGCGCGCGAGGCGCGCGAGTGGTTTTAGCATTATGCACTCATGTTTGTATCTAATTGCTCTCTCTCTATATATGTATATGAATGAATGCATGAATGAATGACTTAACGCATGTCTATACATATATATATATATGCATGCATGAATGAATGAATGCATGAATGTGTGGACAAACATACACATTGTTGTGTAAGGAGAGATTCAAGACAGGCCGCCGTCGGGCTTCCCAGCCCTTTGAGGAGAAGGATGGCGATGGGGGAGGAGGAGGAGGAGGAGGAGGAGGAGGAGGAGGGGGAGGAGGAGGAGGAGGAGGGGAGGAGGCGGAGGAGGAGGAGGAGGAGCACGAGGAGGAGGAGGAGGAGGAGGCGGATGAGCAGCTGCAGCAGCAGGAGCAGGAGCAGGAATCGAGGGCAACGTTCGACCGACAGGGATCGGCACATGGGGGGATGCATTGGCCCCAGCGGCCCGCGCTGGGGCAAGAATGCCATCATGAGCGACGGGGCAAGGGAACGATCCTGAACCGCGGCAGACGCTGCAGCGGGAAGACTTGCCCCGATAAACCCAACCAACGCCTTCACGTGCAGAAATTGGTGTCATCCCGCGCATGCATGTAACACTGTTTGCGAGAGGGGGAGTAAGGAGAGAGACAGAGAGAGAGAGGGAGAAAGAGATAGAGAGAGAGAGAAAGAGAAAGAGAGAGAGAGAGAGACAGAGAGAGATACATGGTTATATATATAGAGAGAGAGAGAGAGAGAGAGAGACAGAGAGAGAGAGAGAGAAAGGGAGAGAGCGACAAAGAGAGAGAGAGAGAGGGAGAGGTGGGGACGCCGCTGCGCATGCGCATGACCAAGGGAGACGGAAGAGCAGTCTTCGCATTCAGTCATTGTTGCGGCAGTTGGTGGAGAGGCCACATGAGACGGACTGTTGGGAGGATGATTGTAAGCCTGGGTAGTCGAAGGTCAGACTGTCAGATTGGATTGGGCCCCAAGGGCCAGTCTGGCCTGGCCAAGCTGGATGATTTGGGTGATTCGCCAGACTGGATTCGCATTGTCTCCCTCGCCAGATTGCCCCTGTTTGCCAGATTGGGCCTGCCAGATTGGCGCCAGATTGGCTTCGACTACCTAGTCTTTAAGCGGGGAGGGACATGATGAGAAGGACAAAACAGAGGTAACACGTGCATCTGCAAGGCGATGAGTGAGAGCTGGCGAAGGAGCAGCACAGGGGTTCGAGGGGGGGGTGATGAGTGTGAGGAGCTTGAGAAGCATAGGAAAAGGCAGAGAGGAAACTGGAACACCAGAAAGGAAGCTTGGTCGCCGCATTGGATGAGACATGAGGCCAGAAGGGCCGCCCCTAGCCTACCTTGCCTCTTCCCCTGCCCCTCGAAGGCTCTCTCCTCTCACGCCCCTCCCTTCCCGACGGGAGGGAGGGGCATAGGATGGCAGGCAGAGGTGGCGCGAGCGCACCTGCCTTGTCCCACCCCGGCCCCCTCCTCTCCCCCTCCTCGCCCTCCTTCAGGAGGGAAAGAAGCACACAGACACAATTCATCGGCGATTCCCCAGAAAACATCGGAAAATATCGGAACTGGGGCGAAGACAAAAACCGAGAAAATATGGGAAACTATGGGGAATCTATTTATTTAATCGCTTCGCTCATGCCGCCGGCCCTGGAGCCCTCTTTAGGGCCTCTTGGGGGCCTCTTGGGGACCTCTGGGGAGTCTCTTGGGGCTCCTTGGCGGCGTTTTGGAGGCCCCCATGGCCTTTTGGGGGGCTCTTGGGGGTAGTCGATTGCGGCTCCCCCCTCGGAGGCCACGATCCTCGTGAGGGGTGTCGAAAAATACCCTCCCCTGGAGTGGTCTGGTGGCTTCTCCCGGGCTTCTCTCGGGACCTTGCCCGGGTACTTTTCGTCCGGGGGCCCCCAGGGGCCGCTCCGCGCGCGCGATCTAGAAATACTGTTAACCAATTACCGGAGATCTTAGCACGCCTCTGGCCCGTTGGGCCGGCGAATCTGTGTGTCTCTATGTGTGTGTTCCAGGGCCCTTCCTTGCCCTCCTGGCCCGCGTGCCGCCGCGCGCGCACCCTGGCCACGGCCTGGCCCGCCCGGCCCTGCTCCTCGCGAGTCGGACGCGCCCCTTTCTCGAGGATCGACCGATGCCCCCCGCTCCTCCTGGCATCGCTCGGAGGTGTGCGTTTTTCCGTCGGCGAGGACCATCGAGGAGCACCCTTGACCATTTGGCGAAACAGCCACGCACGACACCGGACAAAACACAGGGAATGGACGTCCGAGCGATGCCGAGTCCTCGGCTATGCCCCAGGCTTGGGCCCCAGATCCCTGGCCCGGTCGGTCCGGGGCGCCCGTGTGCACCACAGCGTTCGCTCCTCGAGCCTCCGGCCCCGGTCCTCGCCCCCCGCGCGCGCGCGCGGGGGGGGGTCGGGCCGTGCCGGCGCGGCGGCCGGCCCCTCGCGCGGGCGCGAGTGGCTCGGGAGCCTTGAGACGGTCAAGACCTGTGGGGAGGCGGGGGGCCCTCGCCTCCACGACCGGATTCGTCTCGTGGGGCTCCATTCGGGAGCTTCGAGGCGGGGGTCAAAGCAAACGGGGGTCAGCCAGGGCACCAGATCCTGCAGGATCCTGCGAAGACCCCCTCTGGCTGACCCGGGTCAGCGAGCCGCTCGTGGCCGCGACACGGCCGCGCTCATTGGCTGACCGGGGTTTGCGAAGACCTGCGTTGCAGTTTTGTTTTGTTTCCTGCATTTCGGTCTTTGGTTTCCCGCTGACCCGGGTCTGGATTGACCCGGGCCAAACGATCCCCGAGTGGTCTCGAGTCGGCCGGAGCCCCACGAAGCCTTGGCCGGATCGGGGCCGACACCTCCCCCGTGCTCCGCCCTGCCGGTGGAGGCGAGCACTCGCACGGCCTGCAGCGCATCCAGGGCGTCCTGCGGCGCGTGGGGGTGGCGCCGGGGCCGTGGTCGCCGTCGTCAGCGCCGCCGTCGCCTTCATCGCCGCGTTCGCCTTCGCTTTGGCCTTTGCCCCTTCGCCCTCGCCATCGAGCACGACGAAGGAGGAGGAGCATACGGAAGAGTTGATGCCTCTCGGAGTCTCTTCGGATTTCGCTCGAAAGTTTCTTGGAGTCCTCTTGGGGCGACTTGAGGGTCTTGGCAGTCCCGGAGGCCTCTCGGGGCGTCTTGGGTGAATTTTGGGGGCCTTTTTGGAGCCTCTTGGGTGTCTCTTGGGAGCCCCTTGGGGGCCTCTTGGGGTCCTCCTGGGCAACTCTTGGATCCGTCTTAGGGCACCCTTGGGAGCCAAGGGGGCCGTCTTGGAACCATCTTGGAAGAGATCGATTCAAGCAGGGGGGCTCCTCAATTAGGGCCCCCCACCCCAGCATCATTACTGTCGCTGCCCTGTCATCATTACTGTCGCTGCCTTGTCATCATTACTGTCGCTGCCCTGTTTTGGAGAAACTGATTTGTGATTGGATTGGGTTTCGAGTGGATAGTTCCAGTGAGTCCCGACGACAGCCATACTGTTTTTGTCTCCTCCTCCTCTAGCCGATCGAAGTTTTGCTGCTGCGTGCTGCGTGTTGTGATGCCTTGTTGGCGGCACTGAACGCACGGCGTTACAGTGCCTCGGGAACTCCCACACAGCTGTTTGAAGCTCGTTTGCGTGTCACGTCACGTCGACACCGCTCGCTGTCAGATGCCTGGTCTGACCGCCCGTCCGCCACTGTGAGACGGCTCACGGTGCGCAGACGACCGCGAGTGGAGTCTATTGATGTCGCCGTGCCTCTTAGAGCCCCTGGGACTCCAAGAGGCCGCTGGGTTTCCCGCAGCGCTCCAAACGCTACGAACCTGAACCCTTCAACTGGGGACGGTTTAAAAATATAGGGTCCCCCACCCCAGGAAGCTAATATCAATGATTTGGGCTTTTCGCCGAGGTCTCTTGGGTGCCTCTGGGGGGCCTCTGGGGCCCAGTGGGAGTCTCTTGGGAGCCTCTTGGGCGCCTGTTGAGGCCTCCTGGGCACCTCTTGGGGCCCTTTTGGGGCACCCTTCTTGAGATCCTCGGGGGTAATCTCCGAGCCATCTTGGAGGAGATCGATCAAAGGAGGAGGGGGGGAGCGCCTCAATCAGGGTCCCAAGATGGGGCCAACACCTCAGCAATGTCATCGATTCGGGCCGTCTTTCCGAGGCCTCTTCGAGCGTCTTGGGTGCCTCTGGGGGGCCTGTGCGGGGCGGCTTGGGGGTCTCTTGGGGGCCTCCTGTGGTTGGGGCCCTCTCGGAGCACCTCGGTTGGCCCTCTTGGAGCACCCTTGGGCGCCTTGGGGACCACCTTTGGGCCATCGTGGAGAAGGTCGATCAATGGAGGGGAGCTCTCCAATCAGCCCCCCCCTTCAAGAGGCCATCATGTGGCCAACACCTAAGTCACATCAATGATTTTGTCTTTCTCGCCGAGGCCTTTGGGGGCGTCATGGACGCCTCTGAGGGGCCTCTTGAGGCGTCTTGGGGGTCTCTTGTGAGCCGCTTTTTCCGGGGGTGTCTTTGAGGCCCGTTTGGGCCTCCTGTGCACCTCTTGGGGCCCTCTCAGGGCACCCTTGGGAGCCTCGGGGGGTAAGATTGGCCATCTTGGAGGAGATCGATCAAGTGAGAGGGGCTCCTTAACCAGATTCCTCCATATGTGGCCAACACCTGCGTAAAACCCATGCTTTCGGCTATCTCGCTGAGGCCTTTGGGGGCATCTTGGGTGCCTCTGGGGGGCATTTTGGGGAGGCTTGGGGGTCTCTTGGGAGCCTCTTGTGGGTAACTCGGGGGCCCCTCGGGGCCCTCTTGGAGCACCTCGGTTGGCCCTCTTGGAGCACCCTTGGGCGCCTTGGGGACCACCTTTGGGCCATCTTGGAGGAGATCGATCAAAGGAGGCCAACAGGAGGCCCGACCCGGCGTAACATCAATGATCAAGTCGTCTTCGCCGAGGCATCTTGGGACATCTTGGGTGCCTCTGGGGGGCCTCTTGGTGCCTCTTGGGGGTCTCTTGGCGGCCTCTTGGGGAGCTCCTGGAGGCCTCTCGGGGGCTCCCGGGCACCTCTTGGGCCCTCCCTAGGAGCACCCCTGGGAGCTTCGGGGCCCATCTTGGAACCATCTTGCAGGAGATCGATCAAAGGAGGAACCGTAGTACATTAGGGTCCCCCCCCGGAGGCCAACATGTTGCCACCACCCTCGTAAAGTCAATGATGTTGGCTTCCTCGCCGAGGCCATCTTGGACGTTCCAGCGGCTCGCGACCCCCCCCCTCCATACCCAGGGGTAGTGAGACGGGGGAGGGAGATCTTTCCCCGAAGGTGAAGAAGTGGGGCTGGAAGAGGAGCTCCACACCACTCACGAGGGGCATTTCGACCTCGAGCCATTTCCCCTCCCTGGCGCTGCCCGGTAAGTGTAAGTGGGGGGGGGGGGTCGGCGGGGGGTCCCCCCTACCCCCCCATCCATTCAGTGGGTGCGCGTCGGCGGTTCAGCCCGTCGTTCCCCCCAGGCGGCGTGGGCCATGGAGGCGGGCCCCGTCGCGGCATCGGAGCACTACGGGGATCCCGACGCGCTCCAGCGGGGGCGGAAGGACCCCATCAGCGCGGAGACCTCGGTGCCGCCAAGTCGTCGCCGTCGCCACCGTCGTCGCAACGTGGTGGTGGTGGTGGTGGTGGTGGTGGTGGTGGTGGTGGTGGTCGTCGTCGTCGTTGGTGCCGCCGCGCGAACCACGACAATACATCGCGCACGTGGTGAATATAAGCAGCGGGTTTCTCTCTGTTTCCCACTCAACTCTCCGCGGACTGCTATCTATTCCTAGTCCCTACCGTCAACCCCATGATGTCTACTCCCTACGCTCATCTCCTTTACTCAAGTGGCTTACGCCATTCCGCCGACCCCCAGAAGGAGGTAAGGGCTTGCGACGTTCGTGGAAGTTATCGAAGACGCCTACGGCAAATCACCGCGGCCCATGCTTGTTGGAAGCGCCCACGCGGCCACGTTGTGGCCAGAGCTCGGCCGCGCTATCGGACTGTGTGTCCCCTCAGACGATTTAGGAACCCTTCAAGGAACGTTTGGGGCGGAAGAGGAAGAGGACGCGGGAGGGAAAGAGCGGAGGCGAACGAGGAGGAGGATGAGGCGAACGAGGAGGAGGAGGAGGATGGGGAGGAGGAGGAGCCGGAGGATGAGGAGGAGGAGGAGCCTCTGTGGTTCTCTCGGGGTCTCCTGAGGGGCCTGTTGGAGGTCTCTCGGAGGCCTCCGTGTGTATCTGAGGGGGTTTCTGGAGGCTCCTTGGGAGGCTCTTTGGCCGTCTGGGCGTTCCTCGGAGGAGGAAAAGGTACCCGTACCGCTACCCGTCGCCCGTTTTCCCTCGTCTTCGGCCTCCTGGGAGGCCCTCGTCGCCACCGCTGGATTCACTTCGAGATCCTGGTCAGAGCGCGCCCGGGGAGAGGTCCGGGGAGTAGCGGTATCAGTATCGTTTGGCTTCCCCAGTCCTTAGTGGACCTCGGAAACGGCAGGGCCGTTTTTTCACCGTTTCCGAAAAAGTGTCCCTCGAAAGTGGAAACGGCAAAAAACGGCGACCGGAAACGGCAACAGAAACGCTTCCAGGATTGGAACCGGAGCCGGAACAAGTCCAGAAACGGCGACGGAACCGGAACCGGAGCCGGCGTCGGAGCCGGCAACAGAAACGGCCTTGTCGTTTCCAGGGCCCACTGAGCCCCAGTCCCTTCGGGGGTGGACAGACCTACCCTGACACGTCGACTAAGGAATTGGCCTTTTTCGGTTCGCGAGAGGGCGTCGCGGCCGTCATTTTGCGGGTCCAGGTCCGTCGGTTTCGGTCCCAGGCCGTTTTCACTAAGGGGAGGTCTACTAAAGGGAGGTTTGTCCACCGCCGATCCCTGGCCCGATCCCAGGCGGAAGGCGGCTGAAGCCAGACGGTCTTAGGGGCCGCCTCCTTGGGCGTCTATAGGAGGCCTCGTGGGCAATCGCGGGGCCCACTTTGGGGCAACCCCGGGGGCCTCTTGAGCCGTCTGGGAGCCATCTCAGGCAGTCGGAAAGCAGGACATGAGCGACCGCCAAGATCATGCGACCACCTGAGGACAATCAACGGCTTTGGCCTCTTCGGGCCTTCCAGGAGATTATCTTGGAGGCCTCCTGGGCCGACTTCGAGGCCTCTCAGGCAATCGTCGTGATGCCATGTGTAGCGTCATCGAGTCCATGTTGGGCCATCTTGGTCTCTCTTGAGGCTGTCTTGGAAGTATCTTGGGACCATCTTGGAGGCCATCTCGGACCCTCTTGGCCGTCTTGGACGCGATTGTACCAATGGGGAACGAATTCTTCACGCAACGCGTATCCCCACCAGCGCTTCGCGCGCGCCCGCCGCTAGTCGCGGCCGCAGCCCGACCGCGACCGCCCGCCGCCGGCGCTTCCGCCTGCGGCTGTAAAAAAAAAGTATCCCCACCAGCCCATTCAGAAACGCTGCCCATGAGAGTTGACGTGGGAGGACTAGGCGCATATAGTGACGCGAAGCGGGCAACCGTGGTGAATTGAGGATGCGGGGGATGGACGGAAGGAGGACGACATGGACGACGGCGAGAGGACGAGGAGGGTGAGGAGGAGGAGGATGAGGATAAGACAGACGAAGAGGAAGAGGAGGACAATAACGATGAGGACGTAAAGGGCAAGGAGGAGGAGGAGGAGGAGGAGGAGAAGCAGCGCAGAGCAGCACCAATGATCCGATGGAGTGCCAGGGCCGAGGACGAGCGCTCCCTGAGGGCCCTCAGGAGAACAAGCATGGACCAGGCGCTAAATAACCGCTGAGGACTCCGCGACGCGGCCCTCCGCCAGAGAGCCCTCAGCAAGTCGCAGCTAGCGTGGGGCCCCAGAGAGGGCCCGAAACCGCTCGGCGCCGAGGAACGCCTGGTTGGGAACAAGAACTCATACCCCCAGGGCCCCCTGGGGAGTACGCAAGTTTTGGTCTTGCAGTGGCGGCAACGAGCGGCGAACAATTCCAGCGCCGCCGGCGCCGTGACCACCTTCTGCCAGCGGTCTTGGAACAGGGCCTTGGCTTCCTGCGACTTCGTTTTGGCCCCGTCCGTGCAGGCCCAGTGGATGAACGCCGCGAAGATGCGTGGCCACGGCTGCCTGCGACTGTGGTCCGCGCCGTCCGCCTTGCATCTCTCCGCGTGGATCCGCCCGCCTCCTGTAGTAGTGGCGTGCGGGCGTGTATGGATGCGGAGTTCAGCTCCCGTCGAGCTTGAGCCACACTTAGGCGACAGTCGAAGAGGCCTTCGAGGAATTCGAGCGCCAGGGCAATACTTGCTCGAAACCTGCAGACGCCCGAAGCGAGCGAAGCCAAGGCGCCGTCGTAGACGAAGCTGCGTCTCTGAAACTTGCTGCCGCACGAGGACCTCCTCCTCCTCCTCCTCCTCCTCCTCCTCCTCCTCCTCCGTCGTTTCGTGGGAAACCATCTGCGCAGCCGTCCAGCGCGCGGTTGAAGCCTCCAGCGTGCCCGGCGGGCGCTGGTGGCGGCGCGGCGGAGGCTCCACGGGGGCGGCGAGGTGGAGGAACGCATGCGGACAGCCACGCCGCCCCGGCCACCTGGGAGATCGTGCTCGGCGAGCCCGTGAACCCGCCCCGCAACTCCCCCAATTTCGAGAAGCGCCACTGGTCAGGAGGGAAAAAAACACACACAGACACAATTCATCGTCGCCTCCCCAGAAGATGTGGGAAACTATGGGAAGGGGGGGGGAAGACAGAGACCCAGAAAAGATGGGAAAATGTGGGGAAGCCTTGTATTTGTGTGCATTTCTTTGCGTGCCCTGGGGCCCCTTCACATTGGGGCACTCCAAAGGCCTCCCTTCTCGCTCCTCTTCTTCCTTCATCCCTTCTGCTTCCTCTTGTCCTCCTCCTCCTCCTCCTCCTCCTGCTCCTGCTCCTGCTCCTGCTCCTGCTCCTCCTCCTCCTCCTGCTCCTCCTCCTCCTCCTCCTCCTCCTCCTCCTCCTCCTCCTCCTCCTCCTCCCTCCTCCTCCTCCTCCTCCTCCTCCTCCCCCTCCCCCTCCTCCTCCTCCTCCTCCTCCTCCTCCTCCTCTCTATTGGGGCCCCGTTGCCAGCCGTCCACGGCGGCCGCGTCGCCATAGCCGAAGGCTTCCGGGGCGCCTCGTCGGGGCCCCCGAACCGAACGTGCGGAGGGTGCGGGCGCGAGGCGGCCCTCGGCGCTCCGCGCGCGGCGCCCCCGCGCCGCCGGTCGAGCTGCACGCCGCCAGCGAGGGGGGCCCAGTCACCCAAATGGCTACACCTTAGGCGATGCTTAAGAAAACTTAAGTTTTCGGCCAGAGTCTCGATTATTCTTAACGTTTCCATGTTCATCCTAACATCCGTAAGGGCTTCGCCCCCTGCCGCCGGCCCCCTCTCTCGGAGAATGGGCCATGGAAGAGCTAAGTCATGAGGCCCTGGCGCTGTCGTGAAGCAGTATCGAAACTTCATGCGAAGCCGATTCGCAATCAGCAAACCAACTGATCACAAGAGGGGTTACCACACCTGGCGATTGGTAAGACGTGTATGGTTTACGGGCTTGGTTACCACACCTTGCGATTAAAGGGCCGAGGGAGTTCTCGCAGTTTGGGTTACCACGCCTTGCGATGGATGTGCGTGAAGGGTGGCACCGAATTTCAGAAATGTGCCAAATCCCCTGTGTTTTTGGACCCTGACCCCGCGGATCTGCGTAAGGGGTGGCGCCGAATTTCAGAAATGTGGCAAATCCCCTGTGTTTTTGGACCCTGACCCCGCGGATCTGCGTGAGGGGTGGCACCGAATTTGAGAAATGTGGCAAATCCCATGTGTTTTTGGACCCTGACCCCGCGGATCTGCGTGAGGGGTGGCACCGAATTTCAGAAATGTGGCAAATCCCTGTGTTTTTGGACCCTGACCCCGCGGATCTGCGTGAGGGGTGGCACCGAATTTCAGAAATGTGGCAAATCCCCTGTGTTTTTGGACCCTGACCCCGCGGATCTGCGTGAGGGGTGGCACCGAATTTCAGAAATGTGGCAAATCCCTTGTGTTTTTGGACCCTGACCCCGCGGATCTGCGTGAGGGGTGGCACCGAATTTCAGAAATGTAGCAAATCCTCTGTGTTTTTGGACCCTGACCCCGCGGATCTGCGTGAGGGGTGGCACCGAATTTCAGAAATGTGGCAAATCTCATGTGTTTTTGGACCCTGACCCCGCGGATCTGCGTGAGGGGTGGCACCGAATTTCAGAAATGTGGCAAATCCCCTGTGTTTTTGGACCCTGACCCCGCGGATCTGCGTGAGGGGTGGCGCCGAATTTCAGAAATGTGGCAAATCCCCTGTGTTTTTGGACCCTGACCCCGCGGATCTGCGTGAGGGGTGGCACCGAATTTCAGAAATGTGGCAAATTCTTGTGTTTTTGGACCCTGACTGACCCCGCGGATCTGCGTGAGGGGTGGCACCGAATTTCAGAAATGTGGCAAATCCCCTGTGTTTTTGGACCCTGACCCCGCGGATCTGCGTGAGGGGTGGTGATTTCGAGCCCCCCCAGCAATTCAGACAACGCGCCCAGGGGACGCTAAAAAGCCGGTTTGGGCCTCCCCTCCCT